GGAGAGAGAGAGAGAGAGAGAGAGAGAGAGAGAGAGAGAGAGAGAGGCTTTGATCTTCACATGAGCTGGGATCCAAGAGGCCACAGGGTGGTGAAGGTGGCGGGGCATCAGGTGACCAGGCAGGAAAGTATCAACCCCCCCAGTCTCAGCCCTCCCCCCTCAGTCTCCCCCACCCAGCAATGCCAGTGATGTAAGGTTTCCCAAATCTGTTTATCCTGTGCTGGAAGCATTGTCTGTATAGAAACAGAGATGGGAGGTAGGGGTGTTTCAGGAAGAGTCTGCTCATACATCTGGTTCTCTTAATTGTTTTTTTAAGATTCAGTTATCATTTTTATATGTACCTGTACATCAGCTTGACACAAGCTAAAATCATCTAAGAGGATGGAACCTTAATTTAAAAAAAAAAAAATGCCTCCGCAATATCAGCTGTAGGGCATTTTCTTAATTAGTTATTGTTGAGGAAGGACCCAGCCCATTGTGGGTGGGGCCATCCCTAGACTGGTGACCCAGTGTTTTATAAGATAGCAGGCTGAGCAAGCCATAGGAAGCAAGCCAGTAAGCAGCACCTCTCCATGGCCTCTGCATACACTGCTGCCTCCAAGTTCCAGGCCTGTTTGAGTTCCTGTCCTGCCTTCCTTCAGTGATGGACTATGATATGGAAGTGTAACCCATAAAAACCCTTTCCTCCTCAACTTACTTTCGGCTATCGTATTTCATCACAGCAATAGAAGTACGTGTGTGCCTGTGTGAGCTTATGCATACCACGTGAGTGCTGGTGCCCAGAGGCCAGAGGGCATCTTCCTCCCTGGGACTGGAGTTACAGGTGGCTGTGAGCTCTCTGATGTGGATCCTGGGAACAGAACCCGGGTCCTGTGCAAGAACAATAAGTACTCTTAACTGCTGGCCCATCTCCCCAACATTCCCACCCACTTTTTAAAAAAGATGTATTTCCATACCTGGTTCTTGAGCTGGCTATGTACAGTTCTTGATTGCCTGATTGCCTGCCCTGAGTTGGTTGAGCCAGGTAGATTTCTACCTTGGAGAGAAAGCTCATTGGTCCATTCAGTAGAGGTTAGCAGATGGTTGGTCTCTCCACCTGTCATTCAGTGAGCCCCAGTATATCTTCTGCTGTATCTCTCCCAGGCTGCAGGAGAGGCCAGGCAGCTGAGAGTTGGGTCCTGTGCAGGGAGTCTCCTGGCCTGTTCATCTCAAGTGATCATACAAACTCTATGTTGCTAAGAGACCCAAACTCTCTTAGCTTTCATCCATCTCTGTGACCCTCTCAGGGAAGGGGCTAGACCAACATAGTCTCCCCTTGCATTATAGGCAAGGCTCTGCCTACTAGGAGTCCAAGCAGACAAGGGCTAGCATCTAGGCCTACCCAATGGGCCTATTCATATGCCTGAGGCCGCTCTCCAGGTCCCACCTAGATGTGTGCTCTGGGCAGCATATCCTCCCCAGTTAGTGTCCCGGAAACTCTGACGGAGGCTAAGGCATAGGAACTCAGTGAGTGTCTACCACTGAAGCTGTGTGTAGCTTGGTCCTCACAGCTGCACCAAGAGGCAAGGGGGGATTGAGGCAGCCTTGCCTTACAGTCAGGATTAGCAATGGGATGGGTAGGGTGCCCTGTGAAACCTACGGCTTATGGGCTGAGGACCCCAAAAGTCCAGAGCCCTCTGCTGCCTCTGTGGGCAACAAGTGTCATGGACAAGACTCTTAGCACCCCAATTCTTCTGTGTCAGTGTCCCCAGGAATCCCAGTACAAGACCAGGGTCAGCATGCTTGACGTCTAGGGCCCTGGCAGTGCTGTATACATGTGCCCTTCGAGTGATCAGGGCCTTGGCCCTTTTGGAATTCACATAGTGCCCACTCTCCATCACTGCCCTCTTCGAGGCCCTGGCCAGTCAGTCCAGCATGTGTATCCCTGTAACCAAATCACCTGTTTCCGTTGCTAGGCTCTCACTGAGCTGTCTGTCCCCACCTGTCATCCCTTTACTGCATCCTTGACATCTTGAGCTGGCCGGGCCCTGCAACTGAAGACAGTGGTAGTAGGGTCCTCCCTCTGGAATCTTCTGGGATAGTGGGGTGGAGTCAGAGAAGCCTATGAATGGTTTGGAGATAGGCTCGTGTCTTGAGTCCTGCTCTTAGGAAGGCCGTCCTTGCTGTGTCCTTCTCCAAGGGCTTCTCCAGGTGGTCTCTGGCAAACCTCACTCAGAACCCCAAGGAGTGTCACAACCTCCCTTCCCTAAAGTATTACCCTGCCTGGCCAAGTTAAGGGAGGGTGTGCAAATGTCTCTCTACACGTGTGACAGATCATGGAATACCGAGGGTGCCTAGTGAGCAAGCGATCCTGGTTCCATCCTGCACCGTGTCTTTGCCCTGTAGGGCAAGGTCAGCAGGCTGAAGGGACCTCTGTCCCTCTCTAATTGAACCCTACCCTCACTGCTCCTAGACGGCTGTTTCTGTTCCTCTGTCCCTTTCTGCTAGGATTCAAGACTGCCCAGAGCAGGGCCGAGGGCCGTCAGTCAGGACTCCCTCCCGGGGGAACCAAGCACAAAAAGTAGTCTATTGAGAGGGATGGTTCTTCACCCCCAGAATCTGACTGCATTAAACTGAGTGATCCTGGTGTGACCCAAGAAGAGGGATGATGGAATGCTGGCTAGGACCCCTCTTTCTCATGCCAGTATGGAAAAATGGAGGGGGTCAAACCTGCACAGTTGTGGGTTGTGACCTGAGTGAGTTCTCATGTACTCAGAACAAAGGGCAATTCTGCCATGACTTTGACCTTATGTTTGGCCTCTGCAGTTTGAGGCCACTGCCCTCCTCAACTCCTCCTTTTCCCCCCCCCCCCCGGAGCTGCCAGGTTTTCTGCCCAACACCCCTCCCCCGGCCATCTGCAATATGGCCCCTTAGTTTCATGCAGGGCTTGATTCTGATCTGACCTTCAGGAGGGTCTTTCCAGGGGTACCCCACCCCCTTCGTAGACCTCTTGCTACCCCCAGGCTCCTCTGCATCGAGGTAGCTTGAGGCTTGCTTGCCTCTGTTCTGCTGATGGCACCTCCTGGAGCCTTTCTGTCACCGTTGTGTTAACCCAGTCACATGGTGGTGTGTGCCTCAGGGTGTCCACGGTGGTGATGGCTGGGCTAACTATGCTAACAGGCTTGCATAGTTCTCCTTTGCACCATTATTGAGCAAGGAGGGGGTCAGAGAGCTGCTAACATTCTCACGGCCTGCCAACTGAGCGCTCAGCAAACCTGAGTTTGCTCTAGCCCCTTTTGGAGTCGGAACCCATCTGCTGTTTGTGAGGTGGGCAGTGTTGTCAGAGGGAACAGTGGGCATAAGGGCTCATCACTTGGCTCTTTGCTCCACAGAGGAAGAGCTCCGGAAGCTTCGAGAAGAGACCAACTCAGAGATGCTGCGGCAGGAGCTCGATCGGGAGCGACAGCGCCGGATGGAGCTGGAACAGAAAATACAGGAGGTGCTGAAGGCCAGGTGACCCCCACATTGATCTTTTCTTACTACTGTAACGATATTCCTGAGGCTAGAAAAAAGAGGGGTGGATTTAGCTCATAGTTTCAGAGTTTGAAGAACACGGTGCTGGCATTGGTTCAGCCCTGGTGGGCCCTCAAGGTGCCTGATGGGAGTATCTAGGAGAGAGGTAACATCCTGCTGGAGGCTGGGCAGAGTCAAACACACTTAATGACCCTTTGGTGAGAACTGACTAATTCAGGGTCCCAGAGAACTCCATTAATCCCTTCCCAGGGCTGCTCCTTCTACCAGGTGCCATCTCTGAAAGGTCCCCCAACCCCTCCCCCACCAGGCCGTGACCCTTTGAAAGAGAAGCAACAATTTAAGCCACAACATTCACCCCCTCCTTGTTGGGCAGGGCTTCCTGGACCCTCAACTCACATCCCTGACATGGCCATGGGCCAGAAGGGGTGGGAACTAGGCCATCTGAGAAGTCTTGTTCTTGATCCCTAAAGGAGAGCCAGGAGAGTTGTATTGCTGGCCTGCTCTGACTCCCCAGGTGTGAGTCCTGCCTGAGCCTGTCCAAGCCACGTTATGGAAAAGTATCTTTCTGGGAGATGGGGATCAATACACCTAGCACCAGCCAGCCCTATGTAGAGAGCTGACCCAAGAGGGTCTAAAGGTACCAGACCACCTATTGTCCCCTCCAGTCTTGGCTAGAAGATGCTCCCTGACCTGTGCACCCTCTCCGATCCTCTTACGTAGCCCCAAAGGGCTGGTTGAGACTCTTGGCCTCTTCTGGGGATACCCTGACCCTGCTCTGTGTTTTCCTATACTCATTGCCCTTCCCGAGCAGCTGCTGCAGCCCTGCTCAAGCCCTGTGGCCCACACAGAGGCCTCACTGCTTCTGCAGCCCCAATGCAGGGGTCCTGAGCACCCTGCCCCCTCCAGCACCTCACTGCATACCACTTCTGTAGAGCTGCCCACCGAGATCACACCCTCATCTTCACAGGCTCACCCGGTGGGTGATGTTGCCACTTCAGCTTCTGCAAGTGATGTTTATAGGTGACAGCTTTTCCTTGGATAAGTCCTCTGAGCACTTGGTCCCCTGGGCACCTGCAGCCTCCTTACTCATTCACTCTACTGACCATCCTCACGAGTGTAGCCTCTGCCTCTACTGCCTCTGGCAAGAGGCTTTTCCGTACAGAGCATCACACAGGTGACAAGATCAAACTGTAGACTGAGTCCCTCTGCACAACAGCCATAGTGCCACCTGGAAGATAAGGTTGGGGACCCAGAACCCCAGCTTTCCCAACTTGGCATCCACCACCCTTACCCTACTGTACTCTCAACCCCTGTCCCTGTCCCTGCTAGGCCATAGTGAATGCCTCTCAGGAGTTTGGCACATACACACTGCTATTTCTGGAATACCCCAACTGGACCATGCTTGTCCATGAGGACTGTCTTCCTTGCTGGGATTTGCTCATCGAGTATGAATCACGCTGGTCGCAGAACTCACAGCTCAGTTTCAAGTGCCAGGTTCCTGCATGGTCGCAACCACTTCCTCCCGGGTCTTACGTCGTGCACAGTAGCTGCTCTGAGAAGCCCAGGTCTTGGAAGTGAAGCAGCCTATTCCCTGTCCTGCTATCCTTGGTGACAGTTCATATGCTTTATAGCATACGCTGTTAATCAGGCTACCCTGTCCCCCAGCCCAAACCCCTGTGGCCTGTTTAGAGTTTACCAGGGTTGGGCTCACCATGGGGCCTATTTGGGGAGGAGGACCCTGCCTTACCTTTTAGCCATGGCTACAAGACCAGTGTTTCCCACATCGGAGGCCTCAGCTAGAATTCTCCTGGGTTGAACACCGACCTTAGAGATTCAGAAGCTAAATGATGTCTTGCTATACATAGGATGTCTTTTTCCATGCTGCCCCCCCCCAGCTTCCCATGAAGGCCAGGCTACCCTTGGTGGTCCTACCAGGAGCACTCAGCTATAGACTGACCCTGTCCTGCTACCATCCCAGCAGCCTCAGCTTCTCTTGCCCACTATCTACCCCCTAACCCCAACCCCACTCTAGGGATCTACCCTCCTCCTTTCTTCCTTAGTGGATGAGCTTGCAGGACCCTGGGTCAGTTCTGAGGACTTAGAGGGTACAACTCAGATGCAGATGAGAAAGGAGCGTCCAGGCGTGACCCAGGAAGTAGCAATTGAAGGTCCTAGGAGAACCAAGGGGCCCCTTCCCTGCCTCATACCGAGGATGGAGAAGGATTTAGGGGGCCCCTGGAAGCCTGAAATTAGAGAGAGAGGGACATTTCCAGGTGGAGCCTTCGTCATTTCTGATCATATTAGTGAGCCGAGTTACGCGAGAGAAGGCCTGTGTGGGGACATGCAGTGCACACATCCATACACCACACAACACATGCGCATATATAGCCCACACACTCCACAGATGTATACCCATGTCTCACAGAGCCTGGGAACTACTGGCTGTAGGAACAGCTACTGTGTACCTGTGTCACAAGCCAGTGCGGGGGAGATGGTTGACACTCACACCCCAGAGGAAGGCAAAGCTGGCTAGAGAAACAGAATAGAGATGCCACCCACGGGGTGTGACCCAGGCTGCTGCTGGGATATAGCTCCTTTAGGGTCTGCAGTTGAAGGTACGTGACTGTCAGAGTCAGACAGGTAGCCAGCTAGACTCCAGGTGAAGGCAGAGCCTGAGGGGGCCATCAGGCCCAGTAAAGACTATCATGATCATGTGCTGAGCTGGGGCCAGGAAGCCAGGGAGATAGATGTTGGGGTATCGTCTAGCTGCGGCCTCGTGTGGTGCTGGATAGAGGGTGTGTGTGTGGTATTCTTGTTAGTGAACTATTTTCCCCACACCCCAAGCTTAAGGATGAAATAAGCAACTGTGTTAAAATTAATCGGAAAGGTGAACCTCTTGCTTATGGGACGCTGCTTGCCCATTGGAAACTAGAGCAGAGAAAGTACCTTTGTACGTATTGGGCTCTGTCCTCACCAGTGCTCCAGCCTTCAGGGGTGCTCCAGGGGTTGGCAGATCCCACCTGTCACTGTTCAGTTCCATGCGGTGTTGCTTCCTGTGTTTGCACTCATAAGCTTTGCCTTTCTCCTGTTTCAGGTCAGAGGAGCAGCCGGCACAGCCTCAGCAGCCGCCGAAGGGACAGAGCCAGGCCAGCAATGGCACAGGCACAGGTAGGCCCCTGGGAAGGAATGGTTGTCTCCCCAGCCAGGCCTCGCCCATGTGGGAATCTCCTGCCGTCAAAACGGGGTTAGAGTCTCTCACTGTGAGCTTGTGAGTCATCATGCAGGCTCAGGTCACCCCAAAGGTGATCTCATTTCCTCGCACAAATGTGACATGTTGTCTAGTTTGGTATGGCCTCCCGAGGGGCACCAGAAGGCACACTGGGTATGCAATGCCGACTTGGTGACCTGTTCTCTGTGACTGGTCGTCGCATGTGGGTACTGAATGGACTATGGCAGGCCATGGCAAGGAATTCCTGACCTCCCAGGTAGGGAGCAAGCCTTTCCTCCTCCCCTGGCTTCCTGCCTTAGTGCCCACATCATCTTGACATGTGTTTCATATTCTAAAGCTGTCCTTCAGAGGAGCCGAGAACTCCATTCTCTGTGCAGTTCTCGTGGGCCCTGGCTGCATCCTCACCGACAGTGTCCCTTCTGCGTGCTGACCAGTCACAAGGCTCCCCTCCCTGTGCCAGTAAGCCTGGCATAAACCATGGCTTAGATCATTGGCTTCAGGCTGCCTGCATCAGGAAGAGGCCTCTCCTAAGGTTCTCCCAGATCCAGCCTCACTGCGCTCACTGGCCGCCGGCCCCAGTGCAGGTTTGGCAGTTGCATTCCCTGGGACATGGCCTCCTTGGGCCATCTGGAGCATCCCTGGCCAGTTCCCAGGCCTAGATGCAGAACCCTTAGCTTGTGAATCTTGGTTACCAAGTGAGAAGCAGCACAAGAGACCCTTAGTGCTTGGTGATAGGATTAAGAAGCGTGCGATCAAAAGACCCCAGCTTCTTGGTCCTTCACAGGGCTGATGACCCTTTATTCTCTTGTCAAGGTCAGACCTCGTTTTGTTTTTCTATTTTTTAAAAAGGCATATTTTTATTTTATGTGTATGAATGTTTTGCCTTCATGTATGTCTGTGTACTGTATGAGTGCCTGGTGCCCCAGGAGGCTAAAAGTTATTAGATCACTTGAAACAGTTGTGAGCTGCTGTGCAGGTGCTGGGAATTGAACCTGGAAAAGTAGCTGGTGCTCTTAACCATGGAGCCTTCTTTCCAGCCTCCCAAACCTTTTTTTTTTTTTTTTTTCGAGACAGGGTTTCTCTGTGGTTTTGGAGCCTGTCCTGGAACTAGCTCTTGTAGACCAGGCTGGTCTCGAACTCACAGAGATCCGCCTGCCTCTGCCTCCCAAGTGCTGGGATTAAAGGCGTGCGCCACCACCGCCCGGCCCAAACCTAATCTTGATCTCCATGATCACCAGACGTGTTGGCTGTGTGGAGCTATGGCCCTTGGTCACCCTCCAAGACAGGACAGGGAGGATGTGGCAGGGGAGAGGGACCACACCCTGATTCTGTCACATCCAAGATAAATGAAGGAAATTAGCCATTGTGTGTGTGTATGCCTCAGGCTGTCCCTGAACCTCAGGTGTCAGAATAAAGCACTTAAGGCCTTTCCCTTCCTAGGAGCTGGCCCTGAGGAGCATGGGAGAAAGCATCCCCTGCCCTGGTTATGGAAGTCCAGCAGGGGTCTCACCTCTCCCCTCGTGGGTTGGCTTCAGAACTAGGTGAAGACTACCCCCTTCAGGCAGCTGACCATGTTCCCTGGATCTGGGGTCCACAAACCACATACCCTGTCTAGTTTGTCTTTATATATATACACACAAGGTCTCTCTATGTAGCCCAGGCTGATCCTCTTGCATTAGCCTCCCAAGTGCTGAGATTATAGATGTTCAGCACCATGCCAAGAAGGGATTTACTTCTTCCTCTTCTCTTCTTCTTCCTCCTCCTCCTCTTCTTCTTCTTCTTCTTCTTCTTCTTCTTCTTCTTCTTCTTCTTCCTCCTCCTCCTCCTCCTCCTCCTCCTCCTCCTCCTCCTCCTCCTCCTCCTCCTCCTCCTCCTCCTCCTCCTTCTTTTTTCGGTTTCTTGAGACAGGGTTTCTCTGTGTTAGCTTTGGAGCCTGTCCTGGAACTCGCTCTGTAGACCAGGCTGGCCTCAAAGTCACAGAGATCTGCCTGCCTCTGCCTCACAAGTGCTGGGATTAAAGGCAGCACTGCCTGGCATTGAGTAACATTTTTAAATGGCTTTTTGTGTGTTTAAAGGGTTGGAAAAAACCAGAAGGTTATTTCTCAGCAAGTGAACCTTCTGTGAGCCCAGTGTCCATAAATAGCCCAGTGGAAGCACAGGCTAGCCTGTCTTTTGACTGATCTTTAGGCTGCCTTTGGCTTCTAGACGAGCTTGCCTGCCCATCTAGATCTACCCGAAAACCTTGTTGGACTGTAATAGAGCCAAATAAGCCTAAAGAATCCCCCCCCCCCCGCCTGGGTAGCCCCAGGGGACACACACTTCTGCCCCTGTTGGCCTGTGTTTTGCTACTTCTGTCCAGGCCGAGTGACCTTGTTTTTATGTCGACTGTTGTCCACTCGCCCTGGGTCCACAACACACCTGACGTGATTTTTTTTTTTTTAAGTTTTAATGGACACATGATATCTGTACCTGTTTGTGGCACCACAGGTGTCTGGTGACCATGCACCTGCCATTTCCACTCTCTTAAATTGTTTCTTAAATTATGGTGGAGCAGCGTCCCCTGCAGGCAATTCCACATCTTGTTTTCTTTTGTTTAGTTAGTTAATTTATTTTGAGACAGTGTCTCTATATATAGTTCTGGCAGTCCTAGAACTTGATTTATAGACCAGGCTGGCCTTGAACTCACATAGATGCACCTGCCTTTGTCTCACATGTGCTGGGACTAAAGGCGTGTACCAACTCACCTGGCATCCACATCTTGTTTTCTTTAGTATGCAGTTGGGGGGCATCAGTGGGCTCAGACCAGACAGCTTTCTCTCTGACTTTCTCCCACTTGGGTTGCCATCTATGGTCTTAGCTGTCCATAAAGAAAGTGAGTGAGACACAGCCAATCACTGTGAGCTCATCCCAACCAGCAGCTTGGTCTCTGGGCCCTGTACCCCAATGCACACACTGGCTGGTCTTTGAGCCCTGGCATGGTGAGTCCTGTCAACCACTTCCCAGACTAACCAGAGGTAGACAGGGAGAGTGGGACAGACTGCCATCATGGTCTGACATGGTCTTGACATAAGCCCAAGGCTGCTGGAAAATTGAGACCTGGAGGTTTCTGGGGTCCAGTGTGACGATGGAGACATTGTGCTTTTGAGGGTCTCTGTGGCCGGGGTGGCTCTGGCCCACAAGGAGCAGGCCCTTCAAAGGCTTCTCTGGCTGGGTCCCTTCACATCTCGCTCCACAGTGAAACCCTCACTCTAAGCATTTCCTGTTTCCCTACCCAGATGGACATTTTCTGGGAGGTCACATCCCTGGTCCAACTCCCTGATCAGAAGTTGTGTGGACGCTGCAGTTTGCTCTCTGATCTCTGCTCCTTCCCACAGACCGCCGCAGTCAGGGACTGTCGTCCCGTATACAGAAGTGGTTCTATGAGAGGTTTGGGGAGTATGTGGAGGATTTCCGCTTCCAGCCAGAGGAGAACACAGTGGAGACGGAGGAGCCCCTCAGTGCCCGCAGGTAGGGGCACCTCACCTAGCAGCTGTGTGCTAGGGCCAGGGTCCTACACCAAACTTCAGCATTCCTTCTGAAGTTGCTGCCACAAGCTCCTAGAGGTCCCTTGTGCCCCTGTTTCTGGGGCACCACTTGTGGTTTGTGACAGAAGTCACGTGAGGGCCATGTGGGCCCCGTGTCCTCCACAGGGGCTGGATTCCTTGGTGGTTCATGGTCCTGGTCAGTATACAGTGGCTCCCCTTACCAGACACTCTCATAGACACGGGGGGAGGCTCTGGAGAGTCAGCCCATCCCAAGTGCTCATGAGGTAGACGTGACAGATGGGTGGGCTGTCTGTTGTGGAGTCACCCCTGCTTTCATAACTCAGGAACGGGCATCAGAGGCACCCAGCATTGTCCTCTCCAGGCCCCTGGGGGACCCAGGTACTTAGACGTCCTCCTTACTGCCCATGTGCTAGTGGTGCTTGCATACCGGGCGTCCTGAGTGTGCTGGTGACTTCACACCGATCCTTGTCTCTCTCCCTCTCTCAGGTTAACTGAAAACATGAGAAGATTGAGTAAGTACTGTGGGCTTGGTGTGGAAGAGAGGGGAGAGGGAGGAGTGGGGGGAGGGGAGCTGAACAGAACTCTCCAGAAAAACATCTAAGGACAACTCCTCCCCTGTCTTCCCTGAGATGTAAGCTTGTAGTGGCTGTACCTGAGCCATTCTACATTCGGGGGCTGATGGGGAACTGAGCTTGCTCAGCATTTAGGGTAGTGACCCTTTAGATACAGTTCCTCATGTTGTGGTGACCCGCCCTCCCCAACCACAAAATTATTTTTGCTGCTACGTCATCACTGTAATTTTGCTACTGTTATGAATCGTAATGTAAATATTTGTGTTTTCTGGTGGTCTTAGGCGATCCCTGTAAAAGGGTCATTTGACACAGAAAGGGGTCATTACCCACGGTTGAGAACCGCTGATTTAGGATGGAATATGGCTCAGTTCTCTGATACTCCTCAGGCCCCACAGAGTGCAAACGGCTGCGATCCTCACTGCCTCTTCCCATTCCCTTTTTCCTGCTACTTGGGGGCCTGGGCTAGGAGCAGGTGGCATCTCCCTGTGGGAACCACGGTTAATGGTCAGGAAGGGCCTGAGCAGCAGGGACCTCCAGCGGGTTGGGTCTTGCATCACCAAGCTAGTTTTGCTTCTAGCTGGGTGACCCATATGACCCTGCTCATGTGCTAAGAAGCAGGCCAGCACTGTGCTGACCGTTGTTGTCTGTTCTGTCCCCCAGAGCGTGGTGCCAAGCCGGTCACTAACTTTGTGAAGAACCTGTCTGCCTTATCTGATTGGTACTCCATCTACACCTCTGCCATCGCCTTCACCGTGAGTGTTCTCACAGGCTGGGGAGGGCCAACAGCAGGCCTGAACCAGTCTTCCTCATGAGGCCCCCAGAGGACAGCCCGCAGGCAAAACTCTCCCTTGGGTTTTGAATGTGCTCAGCCTCAGTTTCTCCATCAGCATTATGGGTGTGTGTAGTGGTCTCAATCTTAGATCAAAGACCCGTGGGGACACAATGATCTCTGCATGGCATGTACCTCATTGCTGTGTCTTCAGGAAGCCTCTTGGCTCACTGTTGGTTGTGACCAGAGGCTTGGCCACATGGACCCCAATGGTGGGACCAGGGAGGCTCTTGACAAGGTGTGGTGTCAGAAGGCTGCAGGTGACCTATTTACCTGGAAAGGCCTCCTGGCCAGAAGGAAGCCACCGCCTGGGCTCCGTCCAAGGACTTACAGATAGTACCTTCCTGAGGAGGAAGCCATCTGTAGGGGTTGCCCAGTTAGCCTTTTACCCTAGGAGGGTCCTAAGACAACCCTAATCTTGGGTCAGACCCTCTGGTTCCCTCTCAGGGACTCACTGCCCACCAGGGAGACAGGCATTTTGCACACTCACGGCTGAAGCTATGAGGGAGGGCTCCACCCATCCGGACCTCAAGGTCCTCTTCCCTGCCACCCTCACAGACGCTCTGCAAGGCTTTCCTGCCTGAGGTCCTCATGCTGTCTCCCTAAGAGACTTACTCTTGTTTAGGCCCACCTTCTGGCTTTCCCTGTCTGAATATTACTCAGGGCCTCGGGCTCCATGTGGCAGCTCACCTGCAGTCTGCAGCAGTGGCGAGCCTCCTCATCAGCTGGCAGAACCCACACTGGGGACAGGAGAGACATTTTCACTGGGCCCTGCCGTCCTCTTCTGATCCCCACTCATAAAGGGCAGTCTCCCTGTGTACTGTCCGACCTCTCTCTTAAACTGGAAGCAGCCTTCCTGATTGCCCCCAACCCACATGCCTTTGTTCAACTACCTGGATGGATGTTTGGGGATCTGGGACTGGTCTCCCTGACCAAGAGTCACCTTATTGCTAGGAAGAAGCAGGCAGGATGCATCTTGTACTAGACTACTGTTTGGCCGGCCTAACCATGTCCCGACCTTCCTCCCTCTTCTCAGGTGTACATGAATGCTGTGTGGCATGGCTGGGCCATCCCCATGTTCCTGTTCCTAGCAATTTTGAGGTTGTCCCTCAATTACCTCATCGCCAGGTAGGTGAGCCAGGCTGTCGTGTGGCTGCATCGTACATGTCCGTGCTGTGTGCCTGCTTCCCATACTGCTGTGTGTAGCCCAGGCTTGTGTCATATACTGCTGTTTGTGGGTGGTCCTCTGAGAGGTTCTGGATATTTCAGTGAGCAGACAGTGGGTGTCTGAGCTACAGTATCACCTCCAACCCCCTCCTCCCGGAGGTGCTGTGTGTTTGGCAGGAAGTTCTCCCCAACCCTAGGGTGGGTAGGTAAAGCTACAGGGCTCTCATAAACATCCTTGGTCATGAAAAGGAATCAGGTAAAGCTAGAATTCACAGTGTAAGCAGCACACACACGCACACTTGTGTGATGGGCGCTTTACTCCACCAAGGCTGAGGAGACCCTTCTCTCTGTTATTCTATGTCCTTACTGAACATCCTGGGGAAGCCCCATCTGGGATGAACCCTTACCTGCACTCCCGGGTTAGACTTTCCCTATGCTTGCTCTTAGGAGTGAACCTTAGCTTTTTGCCCTGGCTTGTGAAGAGTCCTTGACTCCAGATTTCATCTCAGCCCCTCAAAAGATTACAAATCCACATACCAGTCCTCTCCATCCCCTTCTGTGCCTGCTGCAGGGATTTATTTGGAAATGATATTTGTAGGAAACACGTTGAAATGCCTTTGAAGGAGTCTAAGTCCCCATTAGTCTCCAGCCCCTAATCACCACTAATAGGCATTGTTGTTAATAAAACTTTATTAACAGACCAGTCAGAGGGCACAATGAGTTCAAACAAAACAGTGTGGCTACTATATAGGCTGATAGCCCCCTATCAGCAATGGCTGCTATTGCATATGCCCCAGCAGAGGGGAAACCAGCGTGGATGACCATGACCAATGAGATCTCAGGCGAGCAGCGCAGCTTCAGGACTCTCTTCTAGGTAGCCAGCCCTGAAGGGGCAGAGACCCTTACTCTAGCTGGTAGCTCAGCTGGAGGCTCGACTTTTGTTCCCCAAAGGTGACACTGTTTTCACGGTTTGGGTGGCTTCTGTTTTTCAGGGGCTGGCGGATACAATGGAGCATCGTGCCAGAAGTGTCTGAAGCTGTGGTGAGTCATGACGGCAAATTGTCTCTTTGTCTTAATCAGTCAGGGGCATATCATGGGGAGTCCAGATGATCATTTCTGCCCTGGCCAGGAGGCTACCCGCACAGACACTCAGCTGTCTCAAGTTTCACTGCCCAGAAGCAGATTGCCCTGTCCATCTGTCCTGGGTGCTGTTTTCTCTCTGGAATTGATGCCAGGGCAAACAGGGAGCTACTATAGCCCCCATACAACCCGCTGGGTGGGGAGGCGGACAGGATGTCACACAGGTCGTCATGTCTCCATCCTGGGTGCTGGGGTCTGGCCCCTGCCTGGTGGGACACTCTCACCTGCTCGTTAACAAGGCCCTGGGTGCTTTTATACTAAGGGGGGCAGCTGTGACAGAGTCCACATGGCCCCTCAAATCTGATTATTGGCAGAAGTTTGCTTTAAAGGGACTGTTGGGCCTGTGGGGCAGAGGGAAGCCACCATGCCTGTGGGCACAAGTGACATTCTGCGGAGTACCTAGGAAATGGGGTAGTCTCCAAGGAGGCAAGCCCGTATCTTGCCCAGCCCTGGGACTGGGAGACCCTTAGGAGACTCTTAGTGAAGCAATAGAGCACTGGTTCTCAGCCTTCCTAATGCTGCGATCCTTTTAAACAGTTCCTCATGTTGTGGTGACCCAACCATAAAATTATTTTCGTTACTTCACAAGAGTAATTTTGCTACTGTTAGGAATTGTAATATAAATATTTGATATGCAAGGTATCTGATATGTGATCCCTGTGAAAAGGTCATTCGACACCACCCCCCAGGGGTCATGACCCACAGGTTGAGAACTGCTATAAAGAATCATGTGAACTTTACAGACCTGGGCCTTAGTTTCCCAACCTGTCAAGGAGTAGGTGGGGACAATGCTGACAAGACATAGCGTTGGAATGAGCCAGGGCCTTGGTCTGCCACTGTGTTTGCTCGCCCTCTGGGGCCCCACAACCTGCCCACTCTCTGCACTGGGGCAAGGCAGCAAGCACAAGGGGAGATTCGACCCCGAGCCCAGCAGATGTCTTCACACCCAGTCCTCTGACAGTACAGGGACTGCGATGACCCACAGATCCCTGGGGCCGGGAGCCTTCCTGCTGTTTGTCAGTAATTTTTCTGAACTGTTAAATTTCAGTGGAAAAATTCTCTCTCCCCTTTGACTGAAGGAACCTGCCAAGGAAGATCTGACCGTGTCTGAGAAGTTCCAGCTGGTACTGGACGTCGCCCAGAAAGCACAGGTACCACTGCTGAGCCTGCCCGTTACCCCAGGAGGGGGGACCCCTCACATGGCTGCTGTAGGTGGACCTGAAGTTCCATGCTTGTTCTAGCCGATCAGTCTCACTCTGTTGAGGTGGCAGGGGAACGTGGCTTCCTGACGAATCTCTGACCTGATGAGAATGGAGCCTTTCGCCACCAGGGCTCAACACCCCTAGAATTCAGGGCTGAGCATTCTCAGAAGTTGGGCTGAACTTTTCTGTTCTGTTATTTCCAGTGGCCTTAACTTTAGACCAAACAACCCCAAACCTGGGAGAGGCAGTGGCTGGGTTCCGGTGGGTGTGGGCTGTGTATGTCCCTGGAGCCCTCTGGGTGTGTCTGTGTGACTGACAGGTACTCGGGCTTGTGGTCACTGCAGTTTCTTCTTCATATAGAATCTCTTTGGCAAGATGGCAGACATTCTGGAAAAGATCAAGAAGTAAGTGGCTGTCCCCACAGTGAGGGTGGTGTGCACCACCCTGTCTGACCTCCGTCTTCCTTCCAGCTTGTTCATGTGGGTGCAACCCGAGATCACGCAGAAACTGTATGTTGCTCTGTGGGCCGCCTTCCTGGCTTCTTGCTTCTTCCCCTACCGCCTGGTGGGGCTCGCTGTTGGTAAGGAAAAATACCGCTGTCCTGGGAGATGGTGAGTGGAAATGGGCCAGGGCGCTCACCCACCCATTGTCTGCATGGATGTACCCCTGCTTTCCCCTCAGGCCTCTATGCTGGCATCAAGTTTTTTCTAATTGACTTCATCTTCAAACGCTGCCCGAGACTTCGAGCCAAGTACGATACGCCCTACATCATCTGGAAGAACCTCCCCACCGACCCCCAGCTCAAGGAGCGTGCCGGTGCCACCGTGTCCCGCAGGGTGAGTCCCCCAACCCCCACCGCCCCAAGGAAGGTGCAGGCAGAACTGTGAAGCTGGTGGACCCAGACCTCCAGCTCTGTAACTTCTGCTCACTCGAAGCCTGGTGTTTCCCAGCCCTTACAGCCTTTGAGATAGATGGTGGAAAGTGGTTCTCCCTGTCACCGCCTCCTTCGTATGTCAGGCCCAGCCAGCCCTGGGAGGAGTGGGCTTGTGTGTTATCTTCAGGGTCTTAGGTGGATGGGGTGCCCAGGCCCAGCCAGCCCTGGGAGGAGTGGGCTTGTGTGTTATCTTCAGGGTCTTAGGTGGGTGGGGTGCCCAGGCCCAGCCAGCCCTGGGAGGAGTGGGCTTGTGTGTTATCTTCAGGGTCTTAGGTGGGTAGGGTGCTCGGGCCCAGCAGCACTCTCAAGAATGTATAAGAAGTTTGTAGAGTTTCCATAGGATTGTTCCCTCAGGAAGGAGTGCCCCAGTGACCGCCCCCCTCCCCAACACATACTCTTTTGTGGGAGTGAAGCACTTAGTGGAGTTGGGAGGGTCACATTCTGGGGTCCAGGACAGCATAGATTGTTGGGAACCTCAGATCAGCCATAGGCCAGAGCAGCCAGGCCTGGAGTAGCACTGCTGACTCTCTTCCCACAGGTAGAGGTCACCCAGGACACAGCTTAGCCTTTTGGAACACTTGAGGGCCTATTTTAGCACTGGAGTGGCTGGGACAGGGACTTCCTAGGGCTTAAGACCATGTAGCACTAGCTAGGATAAGGCTGGTACATCCCAGGGGAGACCACACCCTCCTTTTTCTGCTTGTATCCATCCCGCCCCATATGTCTGTGCTGAGTTATGTTCTGCTCTTTTTGCTTGCCAGTTCACATCACATGTCCTCCTTTTTTCCTTTGTGATGGTCATATGTGTGTCTGTTGTTTCCTTTCTGGCCAGCTGTCAGGGCATGACAAGGTACTGTGTCCGCGTGGAAGCCCCTTGTCCTGCTGTGAGCTGGTGCTGTGTCACTGCTGTGTTGTGACTGATTTTCTAGAGTTGTGTGGCCAGGTGACTTCTGAAATGTCAGTTTTAACTGCTTTAGTGCAGAACCCATGCGAGGCAACAGTGCCCATGCATCTTGTGTGCTGGGGCCCAGGCTTGGGTCCAGCACTGTGAGCCTGGGAAGACTGTGAACATCTCCAGGGGAAAACGTGTCGCCCCCCCCCCTCCCATCCAGCACAGGCAGAAAGGGGACTCTATCCAGTGCAGGGCCAGCACCTCACATTCTCCTGAAGGAACAGAGCCTGTCAGTTCGCTGCTGGTATAGGTAGGGAGGCCAGTACATCCCAACACCAGCAGCTGTTCCAGCTGCTTCTCCTCAAAGCCTGATCAGGACTGTGTGCTGTTGGCAGCTACAGACAACCTCATCACGGAGCTACGTCTCCAGTGCTCCAGCTGGTCTGAGTAAGGATGAAGATGCTGGCCGCTTTCACAGCACCAAGAAGGGCAATTTCCACGAAATCTTTAACTTGACTGAAAACGAGCGCCCGCTAGCAGGTAAGTGTGCAATGAGTCCATGACCCAACCAGTCACAGAGTAGATGGAAGTACGTGGGACAGGGTCTGAGCCCACGCAGGAGGCGTGACCTGCTTCAAGGACACGCTGAAGGAAAAGGCCCAGGCTTACTTCCCAGGAAAGGTTCATAGGAGTGGGGTCTTGGGTTGTTCCAGGAATCAGGAAGAGGTATGACACCATATTCCCTGCCCTGTTTTATCAGCGTAGATTCAGGGATCAGCATAGATTCTCCAAACTGGAATCTCCAGGGAGTAGGGCTCAGTTCTGCCCACCTGCTGGGGAGTCCCATATCATTAGCATCGAGGGACAAGCCTGAAGCCTGTTTCCTATCCAGGCGTGTTCTGGCACTTTGACTTGAGTGTACCACCTGCCGCAGGTATCTCAAGGCAGTCAGCCTTCTGGAAAAGTTTTCAGTAAGTGCCTGAGATGCAGGGTTGGGGGTTGGCCCCCTTCCTTGAGCATCTTCAAGCTGATGTGTGGAAAGCTGCCTAAGGTAGTGAGGACTACAGCTAGCTTGATTTGGTTACTGTGAAAGGAAGGCCCTTTCCTCGGACACTAGGTGATCTCACTCCTGGCAGGCCTACTCCCCACACTGTGGACTCTGTGTATACTCACGGTGCTGGAGATGGAACCCAGGGCTGCCCCGTGCTGGTTGAGCACTGCGCCCCCATCAGCTCACACACTCGGACCTTTTCTGATGGTCCTCATGGATGTGGGCACAACTTTAGCACCGATGTAGGTTAAGGCCCAGGTATTTCCAGAGGAAGGAAATTCCAGATCCATTTTTTCCATCAGTGTGTGAGAATGGTTGGCGTTGCTGCCTCATAAACCGAGACCGGAAGATGCCCACGGACTACATCAGGAACGGGGTTCTGTATGTGACAGAGAAGTGAGTGTTGCCATAGGCTGAAGCATGACTGGTGGGGAGGAAGTGGGAGAGGGTCCTCCCCAGGTCCCAGACACATGCCCAGGTCCAGCAGGCAGGCTTTGCAGTTGCTACAGCCTAGGCTCTGTTTCCCACTCTACCCAACTGTCGGGCCTTCTTGACCCCATTCCTGGACCAGTACCAGCCTCCCTTGAGCTGAAGGGGTCTCTCATCTAGGATGTTTATGTGGGGTCGAGGCTCTTCAGATGGCCAAGGGTATAAGCTCTCAGGAATGGGGTTTTATAGTGGTGGTCTTTGAGTCCATGACTCCCTGCTGTCTGAGGCTAGGCTAAAGGTAGCTTTGGCATTTCTTCCCTAAGTGGGACTACATAGCACCTTGTCCTTGCTACACCTCAGCATCCCCGTGGGATTTGAGGGTTACAACAGGAATAGGGTATACAGTCATCCTCATGGGGGCCCCCTTTCTATCCTGTCTCCCATACATGCAGCAGTATCCAAAGCCCCAAGTACCTTTTTACTCACGCTGCCAAAGAGGTTGGCCCGGGAGAGCCTGGTGGGGCCTCAGGACACCTCCCTGTAGCTCCTGCTGGAATTTTCTGGCAGAGAAAGGCCTAGATATAGCGCAGAGCAGGCTGTACAGTTCCTTCCAGGTGCTAAGTGTGGTGGGTCACTGACCATCCCATGAGGCTGTGGAGGCAGTCGGGGAGGACCCTCCATTGCAGGAGCCCCTCCGCTCTGGCTGCTATCTTGTGCCTCTTCATTTCTTCCCTGACTAGTTATCTGTGCTTCGAGAGCTCCAAGTCTGGGTCCTCCAAGAGAAACAAGGTGATCAAGCTGATGGACATCACAGACATCCAGAAGGTGGGTGCGCACCCATCCCCCCACTCTCCCAGCCTGGGGTGGAGAGGTTTGCGATGATTCCCTGATTGGGGGAGATGCTATCGAGAGACGCCTTTGGGTGCCGCTGCCACCAGTGTTGCTCCATGCAGAGCCCTGTCAGCTTCCTTCTGAGAGAGTTGTGTCCCTTGGGCCACAGGGCAGTCTCGCTTCTCCCGCAGTCTTGGGAGTCAGCAGCTGGGCCGGACACTGTTACACATACAGAAAAGGGTGAGGTTTGCCTGACCAACTGTGCCCCCTCCCCCCCCCCGCCCCCAACTGTAAAAAGGATCTCATGTTGTCCAGGCTGACCTTGAATCAGTTTATTTTGTGCTGCTGGTAATCAAACCCAGGAATCCTACATGCTCAGCAAGCATTCTGCCAACTGAGCTGCATCCTAGCCCTTGCTGTGTCGTGAAGGGAGAGTTGGAGTTCTGTCACAGACTTCCACCTATGTCTGAGACTGCCCCCCACTCCCGACCCCCAGCCATTGAGCTCCTGTCACAGGTTCTTATGAGTGAGCACACAGATGTTTGTATCCACAGAGTGAGGCTCAGCAGTTTCCCTAGAGTGCCCACTCCCTAAATGCGGAGTGGGCATTCCTGGAGGGGGCATTCATGGGGGGGGGTCTTTTTCTCTGGAACAGGAAGAATCTATTGAGTATGGAGCCAATCAGCTTCCCCATCTGAGGAGCCTGGGTGCAGGCCAGCAGCCTAGATGTGAATAGTCCCTAGTACTAGATGGGGTCTTCCTGTTTCCTTGGTTCAGCCCATGGCTGTATGGTCACTCCTACAGGTTTAGTCAGGGCCACGATCATCCTAGCCTACCCTTAGGGACCAGCCATGCTCACAGGTGGCTTTCTACAGACAATCAGCCCCTGGGAGTGGGTGGGGGACACCTCAGAATCAGGAGACACAGCCCTTTTAGCTCCTGTGGCTGAGATGTCCAAGGTCTCCACAGGTCTTGGTGTCTGTGTGCCTGGCAGAGGAGAGTGCCCTAGGCTCGTAGGACACTGGCTTCACCCCTGTCCCTGGGAGAGGCTGGTTGGTGATGGCTGTGTTTGCCTTTCAGTATAAAGTCTTGTCCGTCCTACCTGGCTCAGGCATGGGAATTGCTGTATCAACACCATCAACCCAGAAAGTAAGTGCCTGGCAGATGACCTCACCCCCTTCCCCATCTGTCACCAGGGACCTGAGTGAGCCTCCCTGGGATGTGGTTTCAGTTTGGGTAGAGGTTCCTTTCTCCCTCAGCAGGAACCTGCTACATGGAGTCAAGGTTCAGGAAGGTCAGCTTGGGTAGGCACCGTAGTTATAGGCTAGACAGGTTGGTGGGTCCCAGAGGGAATGGATCCTGCATCCTTCCAAGGAGGAAAGGCCGGGTCCTCTTCTCGGCTGGAGCCTTCCGGGTGAGAGGAGTATGTGGTCATTTGTCCCTGCCAGGCTGCTGTCCTGATCTGACAGGGTCCATTCTAGCCCCAGCCTGGCGATGAAGTGCTTACTCACCCATCCCCCTTCCATTTCTTCCCCCAGCCCCTGGTGTTTGGTGCCATGGTGCACAGAGACGAAGCCTTTGAGACCATTTTCGGCCAGTACATGAAAATCACGTCTGCAGCAGCCTCTGGTGGTGACAGCTAGTATTGACTCTGAGGTGTTGCTGGAACCCTGGCTAATCACTGGGTAGAGGATCGGACGGGATGTCCTCGTGATCTTTGGCAATAATTCTCCTGGACTGTGGCTGGTTATGGTGGTCTGGGTCCTGCAGACCCAAAGGGCTGGGACTCACCTGGATGGTGCCGGGCCGGCCCGTGCTGAGCGCGTGAAGCACCTTCGTGGACACCTGTGGACACAGGTGGGCAGAGGATCCTCTTAACCTGTTTGAAGGATGGCACACAAGACACTCGTCCTCAGGCCCTGCTAAGCACAGCTCCTCACTCTCTGTCCTGGCCTGGGTACAGACCCAGCACCTGCCATCCTGAGAGACTCCATGATCCCATGACCCCTGTTCTCCAGAGGCTAGAGGCTTTTTTCCATCAAAGCCATAGCTGGGAGTGGTTATGACCCCTTCTTGCCAGAATGGTAAGACAGAGAGGAGTGGTGGGGAGGCCCCTCTCCAGTGAAGAAATGGCCAGTCATCTCTCGTGGCCCTCAGACCCTCCTTCCATGTTGGACCTACTGTGGGCACTGCAAGACTGTAGGTAGGGCCTCTCTGGGCTTGGTGTTTGGGGTACCTCCTCCTCCATTTTTGGTGTCTGGGCCTGGGCTGTCACTCATCTGACCCATCTTGGCTTGACACTCCAGCCAAGAGACCAGACCAGTAGTTGATGGCCAGCGAGGTTCCAGAGTGGCGTGTTGGCAAAAGCACACCTTTTTAACACCTTGCTCTTCAGTAAGGTTTTGAGGGCGTTCTCCACTCCAGCTGCTGTTCAGTGAGCATCAGTGGGAGTCTGGCTGGCGTTTGGCCTCCAGGCTGCAGCTGCTCTGAGTAATGGGGTGGGTGGTTCAGGGAGCTGGGCTGAGGGGCTACCAGGGAGAGGGGAGGGCCCTGTGCCACAGGAGACAGCTGTGGGAAGAACCTAGGGGTCAGGGGCCGAGTTGCCCTGTACCTCTAACATCTGACAGTATTCCTTCCTTCCTACACGCTCTGCAAGGCCAGGCAGACCCCACCCTACCCACGCTTCCTGCCCCAACAAAGGTGGAGACTGCAGGGGTGGGTGATCTTGCAGGCCTGGGCCTCTGAAGGGTGCAATCACCACCCCACCTTTGCATTTTCTGGGTGGATCACTCTGGTTCCTTCAGCTTGTCCTGAGTCCTTCAGGTGTCACTGAGATTGTTTTTTTGAAGAAACAGAAGATTATATTTTTTACAGAGAGCAAGCTGTTTTTCTTATTTTTGTATCATTTTTCAAATGTAATTTTTACCTTTGCGCCAATCCTCATTTGCTGGTGTGGGTGTGAGGCCTGGTGGCTTGGGCTCATGACACCCCATTTCCAGGGGCTTCAGGCCACACACTGGGGTTGGGAAAGGCTTGCCAGGCAGCCAGATCAAGCACACATACCACCCCAATGCGCAACAAAGGCCACATAGCTCCAGGTACATGGATGGAATAGTCTAAACATGGAGGCAGGACCCTCCTCCACCCAGAGCTGTGGCTTGGGGCCCTGTAATATTCTCATGCTCTGAAGAGCATGGAGTGCGATAAGTGGGGGACCTGGTGGCATCCCAACATGCCAGAGGGGAGGAAGCGTGGCCTATGACTTGTCACTGGAGGTGGCTGTAAGCTGATACACACACATGGATGAAGCACACATGGCGGTTAACGCTTTCTGGACCCTGGCAGTGCCCAGGTTGGTGAATACTGTCACTGGGGTGCCACATAGAGGCCTTGAATAGGCTTTTAGGGTGGACCAAGCGGTTTAGTTTGAGTCTCTTTCTCTTGGAAAGAGAGATGAAGACTGGCCCATGGTGGACAGGGCTGGGCCAGGGGCCTGTGCAGGCCCTAGGCTGTTAGACACACTGGGGTTTATACTGGATTGTGTGGTCTGAGCAGGTATTTAATTTCTGACTAATCACTGACCTAGAATGTTCAATTTTGTATGTCTGAAGCTTGAGTCTGTTTTGGATCTGTACATAATTGTTATTGGTGTAACTTTTGTTCTACGAAAGGATCATATTCTATAAAGAACTGGCAGGAAAAAAAATCCTCTCACTTTTTTTTAAAGAAAAATCTTGTTTAGATACAAAGTCTTGTATAAATTATAATTTTTATTTAATAAACCCAAAATGCTCTAAGCTAAGGCTTGGGGGGGCTCTTTTTTTTTTTTTGGCAGAATGTATAGGTATTGGTTGTTAGAACAACTGAGTCCTCATGGCTAACACTGCAGCAGGGTTCAGCACAAAAACACATGGGAGAATGAAGGCGTGGGGCCTTGGTAGTGGGTGCTGTTTGCTCTACTGCGCTCCCCGGTGTGAGGGATGCTAGGAACAGAAGGTAGTCCCTGGGTCCCAGAAGACAGTCCAGAGGAGAGGTGACTCGTCTGGGTAATGTGAGGGGGTGTTTGGACCAGGCAATGCCTTGGGGTTGCGGTATAAGCCCTGACCCTGTTGAGCGGTGGTCTCTACCAGCCTGGGGTCTTGAGCAGAAAGGTCTCTGGCAACGCTATGACTTTATTGATTCAGATGCTGACATCGGACACAGGGATACGAGGAAACCTGAGAGTCAAACCTGGAAAGGCATACTGATGGTGCCTGTCCCCACCGCATCCCAAATGAGCTTCCAGTAAGCAGGGGCTGCCAAGACCTCTTTGGAAGGGGACTAGGACCAGTGGGTACTCAGGAATGTGGCCATAGGAGGTTGGACATTTGTTTGTTCTGTCCATTCACCCACACATCATCCATCTACTGACCTATCTTTATATCCATCCTTCCATACACATCTGTGTCATCCATCCATCCATCCATCCATCCATCCATCCATCCATCCATCTTATTTCTGTCACTCCATCCATAGCTTACACCTGCTTTGATGCTGGGATACAGCACAGTCGGAGTTCCCTGGGAACTTGTCAAATAGATACCCTCAGCTCTCCTGAGAACACACCCACTGTGACTGTCCAGTCACTCTCCACTCACCCTCCCTGCCCCTCTGCGGTCGTCCTTCCTGCACCCGTGGTGCAGCCTCTCAACTGTGAGGCACCGCCATGCCTGGTCCTGGTTGAGCCCCTCATCTGGTTTCCTTAGGCCAAGTGGAATAGGTGAGGGCGCATGGATGCGACCCATACATGCGCCACCATGGCTGTAGGGACACAGGTACCCGTGCTCAACCTGGCACAATTGCTGTGTGAGTACAGCTGGGGTACCAAGGCTGAGGCACGAAGCCACACCTGGGGCATTTCTTTCAGGCAAATGGCAGAACCTCCTAGCTAAATAAATCTGCTGTGTGAGACCCATCCCAGGCTAGACTGGCAGCAGAATGACCCAGGCTGGGGTGAGGGACGGCCAGATCTCTCAGGGAGGGCACGGTCACTCAACCTCTTAGCACGGCTTCTCTAAACTATGTTTTCTTAAAATCTGTTTTGAAAATAAGAACTTGTGGGGGGGGAAAAAGAGGGGAAAACGCCAAATTCTGCCCAAAGTTAACTTTATTTTTGTGTCATCTCAAACATATCAGATCAAATATGCCTTGCTAATCTTGAAGCCAGCAAGATCAGGAAGCATATTGGGCCATCCTCATGCCAGAGCTCCCGGTTCAAGAGATTGTACACGGACTGAAGCAGCTGTGGGGAAGCCAGCTGCTCCCCACCCCCGCTGCTTCATTTTCATAAGAAGTTGCTGCCTATGACTGCTGCCTAATTGTTGTGCACCAGTGGGCCACAGAGGGAATTAGAATATGGACCAGACCCCTACAGGCTCCTAAATTGCCACTGTCTGATCTTTACTCCTGGCTTGTTTATTTATTTTTTGATTGTTTGTTTTTCTCTCTCTCCTAAAATACCTAAGGCCTGGGGTTGGGCTATTGCATCTAAAAAGCATCATGGAGACCATAGCCGACTGCTTGGGAATGTCAGGGGGGCTCCCTCCCATCCTGTGTACAAGTGTCAAGGGTCGTAAGGGTCTTGACACTCACGATGCTCCATGATAGTGCCAAAGTTAGATTCTGAACATGGCCTGCACTGCTAAGCACCAACAAAATGTCCTCTACCTGGATCCCCTCCTCCAGAGCTGGCAGTGGCAGGGGTGAACCAGGGCGTGGGCAGCGTGTAACAGGGCCAATGGAGACCTGAATCCTTGCGAGAAGAGTACAGTTCCTGAGAGCCAGGAGCACCCACAGCTGCCTCAGGTCCTGGGCCCCTCTAGAATGCCGGGATAAATGGACAGCAAGGTGGCCACCCCAGTGTCTGCTCTACACTGCTCTACCTACTCCAGAGAGCTGCTAGTCTCACACCTTTGGGTCCCGCCTATCCAGGAAGAGACCTGGATAGAAACTGCTAGGTGCATGTCCTCTCTACCCAGCTTTCCACTTGACCATCGGTCGTTAACTAGCACCACTACCCGATTACCTTCAACATGGTCCCTAAACATGGCCGCCTTTACAGCTGCCCTTTTGTCTGGATGGGACTGAATACTAAACCGAGAATTTCATGGATGGCTTCAAAACAGAAGCCCATGCCAAAGCACCTAGAAACGGGCAGCCTGCAGAACTCTGTAGTGACTGACTAATAGGACCTGCACGAGATGCATTCTTTCCCCAGTGCAGAACCTAAAACCTACTCTTGTAACAGTCAGTGCCCCTCCCCCTTCGCAATCCGAGTTTATGCTGCATACTCTTCTCAGATGCATCCACTTGGAGACACAGCACAGGCCACAGTGTGTGGCTGAGAAGCTCCTGGGTCAGGAATGCCTTCAAAGGAAACTTGTCATGAGCCCAGGGCTTCCGCCAGAGCAGCTAGAAGTCCCCTTGTGGAGACAAAGCAAACAGCCAAGACATGGATTATATACCCTTTTGATAGACAAGGAGCAAGCTGTCGATAATTACATGGAATAGAACCCACAGTGAGGGAAGAATGGATATGGACCCTGGGAATAGACACAGGGCTTGCACCAAAGTACCCGGGGGCGATCTGGGATAACCCGCCACTCCACTGTCGACACTCAGGTTGAGGGTGGTATAAAATCCCCAACGTACCCTCTGTGCATGCCAGTTGCCCTCTGCCCACCCCCCACCCACTAGAGCCCAGCTGTGCCAAGTGCTTTGTTTCCAAATGGAACCTCCTTTTGGCCGGTGATTGACAGACTGCTCGGGCCAGAGTGTGTTGGCTACCAGGGCTGACGGAACGAAACTTCCGGTGGGTACTTTGCTGGTTGTCTCACAGGACGCAGCTGTGACGGCGGCAGATGTGGGGAATCCTGAGGATGAGACGTCACCCTGGGTGTCTTCTCGCAGTGTTGTGGCCCCGTTCTGGAGGTGCAGCTGTGCAGAGGACCTCACTGTGTTGAGTTACGGTTGTGGCATACGACAGGGGCCACATAGCAACATCCTGATCAGAAATGGAGGTGTAAAGTGAAGGCAAAGAGAGCCATCTACTTTCCCAAACCTGGTCACAACTCCAGAGAAAATCTCACAAAGGGCTCAGAGTGACTGGGTCATTACCCGTGTGTCCAGATGGTGTAACCTGATTCCTGGCAAGTATTAATGTTATAATGTCCCTAAAATTATTGCAGTATAGCCACTAAAGGGCTGTCTTGAAATTTGCGTGGTCAGTGTGGCTAAAATCTAGCAAGCCACGCGCCAAACCAGCAAGTGCCTTTGCTGAGAACAAGATATGTGAAAAGCGACTCAGATGCACATAGAACCGAGGTGAGGGTGCCAGGTATGGATATAGAATTGTTGACAAAGCTGTCTTTTCTAAAACCAAGATTTACCTATCAAAAATAAATTTCTAAGTTTCGATGGATGTATCAACATAATTGGTCTGTTGAATTTTTCTTAAGTAGTTTTCACACTCCCCAAGCTCAAGGCAGACGGCTTCTCAGCTTTGGGATTCTTGCTTAGGACTGTTCTTCGATTCCCCGAGCAAAGAGGCGCACCAGCTGGCAGTGGACCCTGCAGAGATAAACAGCTGCATTTAAACTGCACGTGTGTTCCATCGTTCACAGCCGACCTGAGCCCCTCACCTCCCAGAATCCTACGGTTCTACCTTAGTCTCCGAATGTGCACAACCACACTAAATCAACAGCCTGTTTTCAAAAGACAGCTTGCTTTATTCTCCCTATGGAGAAAGACTTCGCTTGCTCTCTTCTCTTGGGTTCTATCCCTATACCACATGTTGGGGAAGAAATGCCCCCTCCCCCCACCAGCAACAGTGAGCATGCAAGTGAGCCTCCCCCCAGCCTACTCATAGCTTGGATGCTGGGCACTCAGGCCTAGTCTATGAGTTACAGGGGTAACCCGTGCTCTGAAGCTCGGCATCAACCCTGGAAGTTTGGCTAAGAATGACTCTGAGCTCCCCTTGGGAACCTAGGTGACTGAATGGGCGAAGTCACTCAGAGCCAGTCACCTAGCTCTGGCCTCTTGCACTTACTGGCCACTCTAGACTTCTGAGGTCCCCAAGGCTGTATGACCTCTCCAGGACCCTCTGAGACTCCACCTCCCTCTTTTTCTGATAGCCTCAGGATACTCTTCCCAATACCTCAGGCTAATACCTGGTGCTTCTCATCTCTACCTTGTACACTTATCCTTGACCATGAAGGCAAGATACTTTGTGAGGGAATTGAGGAGATCCAGGATTTAGGAACCCATGAAGCGAGTTACTTTTGGTTATTTTTCTAACTGGGGTGTTTGTGTGTGAATATGACAGACAGAGACCGAGACCAGGGGCAAAATGCAGAGTATAGGAGAGAAAGAAATAAGAACAGAGGAGCCTGAAAGCCCCACGAATATGCCTGTAAAACCCAGCACCACAGAGTTCGCCCTGCCCCATGCAAACTTCAGATCCCACAGCTTCCACACCCGGCATAAGGCCATGGGGAAGCAATGCCTCCTGTTTTCTGCCACAAACCCTAGCGAGTTCTTGCCGATGTCTGGCATCCCGCCCGCTTACCTGACCTCGATGGCAGGGCTGTGCAGGATCTCCCCGTCACAGTTCCAGGAGCTTCGAGAGGGTGAGCAGCTGCACGTGGGGTTGTCCGTGCAGATCTGCCCAAATCCCTGCTTCCCGTTCTCCTTCAGGTCGCTGTCCTCGTCGTCCACGTGCTTTGATGTGAACTGGAACTTCTTGACTCGATAAACTTCG